GTTCCTCCTGTGATGCTCTTGTGATTATATCAGTGTGTGACATACTATATGAGATTTATAGGCCGAACACCTGCCTATAAAGGACACTTGGCAATTGCCGTGCGTGTGCAGTTCTACAGTGAGACCACTGATATAATCACGGGCACCTAGGTGTCTATAAACACTATATAATAACATACGTATTTATAAAACCTGTTTATAAACGCACAATGTATACGGACACGTTGTTATAAGAGGGGTTTCCTTTCAAGCGACCTCTTACGTATAGATTTAACTCTACTACCATCCACGTCTAACATCATTGATGGTGTTACAGGGGCGTAGAGGGTGGGAGCCAGCGATTGGCGTCCAAGACTCACCTTGCGTGCAAGTTCCCCACTCGCAGACAGCATCCCCGAGGCGCTCTACGGACGAACTAGCTTGTGGCTACCCCGCAGCGCTTAGTGGCAGACCACCAGGCCTCGGTCGACGGTGATGGAAACGTGTGAAGCGGAAAACTGCGGTCTGTGGGAGCGGACACGTTCTCTACGGCAGTGGGTAAGGCTGCTGACAACTAAGCTGGTATCTGTTCTCACGGGTGCGTATCAGCGGTGTAACGTGATTATATAGTGTAGGGAGAGGTTTAATGTAGATTTTATTATTTCAAAGATGATGAAATCAATGTTATCTACTTGTACAATTGTTTGCTTCGAAAAATCCGTTGTATTAGCGGGACACAGAGTTTATCATCTCAAAAAATCAAAGTTATGGTATATGATGAACAACAGTAACATTTAAACAGATCTAGAAGAAAGTGCTCTCTCTCTTTCTGCGTGCAATGCATGCGTGAGTGAGGAGCACGTGAGCCTGTTACACGGTGTGATGCTGCTGATGTGAGTGTAACTGTTGTACGCGATCTTTCGTGCGAACAATATTTCGCTCGAATGTGGCGTGCCGGAGGCGTATGTGTGGGCGGCGTGTGCGTCTCGTGGATGTTGTGGCGTGCGCTGTAGGGTCTGGAGTTGTGACCGTGTGCGCACGAAAACCCGTATCTCAGGCCATCGAATCTGGGTGCACTACTCGGCTACTCTCGCATTCGATAGATTCTGCACAAGACATCCGGCGTACGGTGGTAATAATACAGGATCGTGGCGGCGTCTTGGGACGCTATGCTGCGGCAAGACAACTGAAATTTATCTGACGTTACATGTTCACAATCTTTGACATGTCTCAGTTTAAATTTCTTCACCGACTAAATTCGTATGGATGTGAACAGGATACATGAATCAGTATTACAGTCGGCGTCAGTTAGGAATAGGCGGCAGACAGTCAAGGCTGAAGGCTCACTAGCGGCCTTCCTCAACATATACATCATACTGGTATGGTTGCGTCCTAATGTACTACATGAATTATGGTCAATGGCGTTAATCGCATGAGGTTTTATAGGATATATTGAGGTGCAACGCATGGCTGATCGTAAACATGTATAGGCAGAAGAATGCCACAAAATGTCCTGCATAGACATGTTTTATGCTATGGAGGTGGTGTAGCTGTCATATTTCTTATCAAGGAAAACACCAAAATGTCCTTTATAGACCAGGTGTCTGTTGCGTATAAGAGCTGGTTTCACTGCTTAACTGCTACTAGCAAGAAAATGTGAAAATTACCTCTATACGACAGGCACCGTGCCATAGAAAGGTGAACTGTTGGTTTAGACCTCATAATACAGTAGCAGATAGCATATTCTCCCATTGCACAATTCGAACAGATGAGGATCATTCGGCCCCCAGACACGAAATGAACTAGGCAGACACATTTCAGAATGAAAGCAATGCTTGCATTCATAGAATATCAACATGTACGACCAGGAATCAAAGCACATAATCAGTTGAATAGACGGTGTTAAAAGTATGACCAGTGATGAACATACAATCGTGCAAAAAGAACGCCGACTCCACTCAATGAATATTGGTCAAACAGCCGACTCAAGCTCTAATAAGTAAAAAAAACTTTTATGTCGATTCCACTTAACATCAGGAACCGAGCAGAAAATCAAATGTTATGCCTGGAAGTTATCATGTCTCGCAAAAACACGAGAGAAAGACGAGGTAACAAGTTATAGAAAATGATCTCCTCTAACGCACAAGCGTATTTTCTCCACGAGAAAATGTATGAATGAACATGTGTACATTGAATGAGAGATCTCATGTACAGTAACCACTGAATCATATAGACTTATCAGGCCGTGGATCACAGCTGAATCACCTCCACACACCGCAACCGCCAGAACAGAAAGAAAAAAACACACGCTGATCATACATAGACCGTGAAACATTATCTGAGTAGACCATACATTTCAAGCTGACGTATAGAAATGTGGACGAGGAGAAAATAACAGAAAGAGAGGTTTACATTCATGCACTCACCTGATAATAATATTCAGACATGATGGCTCACTGACGCCATCTAATTATTAATATTATGCCAGCACGGTGAGAAATGCGCGAAAATCAAAGCCTGCGATCGCGCCCAGTTCACGCGTTAGCCTGGCATGCCTAAAGACGCGCACGGCTGCTGGCATTTCGCCCTGCGACGACAAGGACAAGTACGTAACCGAGATGCGCGACGGCAGGCACGTGAACGTTGTGGGGATGGCGAGTGAGTAGCGTGGCGCCACCTGCTGTCGGCGATGTAAATTAATGTAGTCGGGGTCGCGGCAGGATGTAGCGTGGTTGAATCAAATGTTGTCATGTTTTATTTGTCGGCGAGTTTTCTTGTCGTGAGCGTCGTCGTGAAAGAAGCGGAACAGCGCTGTAGTTACTACACTGAAAGGACTATTTTATTGGCTGTTGACGTTGAAGCGTTCATAAATAGAAACACTAGGACATTGTACAAAACGGGCACGCTATGTTCTAGCGTTTGAATAGTTTGATATAACAGTATAAAGGTTTTAATGGGGGATACAGATACGCCATCTTAATCTCTGAAGGACGTTCGCAAACGCATGCACGCCTCACACACGATCATCATTATAATAAAATAGATTTTTTATTTTTATTCAATACTGTACAAGCATTTAAACAAACGTATTTAGAGAACGAATCTACAGGGCACAAGCCAAACGAGTCGATAAACAGTTTTATGCGCGTTGTAACGATGCAGCAACTGCCTCTGTGTGAAATCAGACACATGTACGGGCGTAACCTGCTCATAAAGACTGTGGCAAAGCGATTGGGTGTGTGACTGAATCACTTTACTGCTGCTGCACGCAATATCAGCTCTGTCGCCACCTGTGTCGTGTCCCCCCATATAAAAGCACGAGAGATATGAGCATAGATATATAATAAGTTTATAAAACAATACAGAAGGATACGGTTGGCTAGCATGTGGCAGTGGTAGGCCCATTGGTCTGCGAATTGTCACAGACTGGGCCAGAAAAGAACGTGATGAAAATTAAATGGATTGGGAAAAAAACAAGCTGTTTGCGGAACCGTGCAACTGACAAAAAAGTTTAGCGCTTTCCAGTCAGTATCCGCGCGCAACATTACGATAACAGCGAGGCTGAAAACAACGTGATAATAACCTTTAAAAAGGTCCGGGAAAAATTTATTGTATGCAAAATATCTCGCTAAAGCTTTAATGTGCTAGCGGTATTGATTGTCTTCCGGGCCGCACCAGATGCAGCAAACACGCCTCCTGCCACGCAACCGAGAGGGGAGGCAGTGCGGCGGCTTTCGAACCCTTGTCGGAATTTCAGTTCGTTTCGACTGCTTGCCGACAGTTGATTGGTCGTTGGCAGCCGGATGGGTCGTGAGATCTCCCGCGGCGGGCGAGAGGTCAGCGTGCCGTGCGTACTGTCGCTCCCCGGAAGGGTGGCGCGACGGTCCAGGTGTAGACGCGCTGGTGCTGCCACCTGCAGGTGTAAACCTGAGTTAATGTCTGGAGATGAGGTTTCTTGTCATAAAGAAACTAAAATTCTATAGGTAAATGTATTCTAGATCATGGTAATGTTTACATGCTATGAAGTGATTGTGAACTGGATTGTTAGTGTATCTCTGCTAAATATCTTGATTTCGTCGTAATGTAAGGACGTTGGTATATTTAAACAGAGCTGGCACAGCTGGCCTAACCACTTCTGCCTGCACGGTAAGTCCAGTCTTTGAGACAGTTCTTCGATAAAACTGCGAACGGAACCATTCGCACGTTTGGCCATTCACGCTCAAAGTTGAAAGGTGAACTGGTAAGTAAACACTAACGCAACACATACACAAATCTGGCGGGTAAGCTCCCAAGCACCGCCATTTTGCGTTAGCTGACACTGAGACAGGTCATTCGTGAGCGACTGATGTGAGTGCAGAGCAAAAATCACGGTGATTCATAAGCCAGAGTCATCCCACAGTAGCAACACAACTTTAGTATATAATTTTATCTATTAAAGTTATGGTAGCTTGCTTCCGGCGTACATAAATTTTTCGCACAACACGATTCCCGGCATCCGCATCTTGATATAGGATTCTTTATCGTTATCGTTTTTGGCAGATCACAATGAAGTAAATAAGATCAGAGACGATTCGCCGATACCAAAACACTCACGCAGTAAACGCACGACAACATATTACATAAATTTGATTCATATGACGCATATTAAATTTGCCCCAATCTTTTCCCACGAGATTTTGCACAAGTAAATCTCACAAATTTCCCTGATAATGCGCCCAGGCGACGGGAGCTACTCTATTTTTACGTCTCGGCCTCTGTAGAATGCCGTCAACGCTCTCATCGGACCATACCGTGATGACAGCGTGCACCTTCTAGCAGCTGTAGCTGCCGCGATGTGGCTCCGGTTGGCAGCCGACTGAATCGCATGTCGTAGTCCTAGATTGCCAAGCACTCAATCCACATGGACACTCACAATACAGCGGCCTGCATACTAGCATATATATATACTCGAATTTTCGGACACTATGTATACCAATATATGCCGTGTATTATTTATATATACTTAGTATTAACTTGTCATATACTATCTATATGTCTCTATTATTTATCTATCTAATCTATATATACTTATATATATAATATATATAGGTGTACTGTATGTATGTACCGGTGATGCTTCAGCATTATCCCATCTTTCCACCATTGGTGCTGCCGGTGGTGGGACCTCCGGTATGCCCTCGAACACGAGATCCGTGCTGGGAGACATGGCGCCCCCTGGTGAGACAGCGTAGAGGCTGATGTGCTGGCACTGGTGCAGGTCGAGTCCACGCACCAAGGCCTTCTCAGCGTTGGCGCCGCACAGCGTCTGGTGCAGGCTGCCGTTCACGTAGATCTGTGGATTAATCACCGGTCAATCGTGAGACACTTGCTGACAACATGTCTGACCCTTCATCTAACCCCTTGCCTGAACCCCGAATGACCCCCACCTATGGCACTGCAATGTTGTCTGAACCCCTATGCCCGACACCTCCTGTCTGAGTCACAGCGCATCATGACTGAGACATTGTTAAGACGTTTATAACACGGTTAAGATACACTCGAGAAAAAAAATCATTTTAATTCTAGATGTATCCAAAATCTTTGCTGTAGCGACAGTTTCGACGGTCACTCTGCTCTCTGCGTCGGGCTCTACCCTATACTCTCCATTCTCTAACACTCAAGATATGTCTGTGACAATTCACACATCATACAGCGTGTACGCACCTTGTATTCAGCCACGCCCTCCACGTCAGCCGGCGGCATCCAGCCAATCAGAAGGCTGCGGTTGCTCGCGTTGCGATCGCCGACGATGCGATGGATCTTCAGTTGGCTCGGCGCCTGCGGCGTCGCTTCCGCCACGCCTCCTACGTTCACGCGCTTCTTCGCGGCTGGCGCCCTCTGCGGGGAGCTGAGGGCAGACGTGGGTTCGTGGAATCCCGAGTCCTGGAGCGAGTCTCGTTGCTCGCTCTGTCCCAAGCAGCTGCGCGGTCGCGCGGGAACGAGGTGGTGAGCAGGGATGAGTCCTGTCTTCCCGTTAACGACCGCCTGTAACGATGACGTGACGCAGTGCAATGTCAGACACCTATCCCACCTCACGGCCATCGCGCGAGTATCCACACATCGTCACATTCACGAGTGTTATAATAATATCAGTAGTGTCATAATATAGATCTATATTATACACTCGTGATAATATAACATTTAACAAGTTATTACTTCATGTTTGTACTTCCAATACAGTTAATAATACGTCGTGAAACAATGATATTAATCGTGGAATGGCTATATATTCCTCGTTGCCCTCGATTCGATTCCCTAACTTCACACGACAGCACGAAACAAACAAAAAACACGAACAAAATCAAGTAAACAACCTCCCTACTTAGCACCTACACCCCCCCAACCAAAATGTATAATAATGCCTACAGGTGGCGCTGCTGCACGACTTCATGTTACGTGCGAGCGCGTTGTGAGTACCTGTAGGTAGCCGGTGGAGTCGGTGGGTCCAATCACTCTCACCTCGTCTCCCTTGACGAGTGCTAGCTCCAGGTGTGGGTGACGGCTGCGCGACATGTTCGCGGGGCTGTAGTCTGCTGCCGCTCGGTAGAGGGCGCTGCCGGCCACAGTGAAGCTATTCATCGCGTCCGGCAGAGATGTACGCCTGAAGCAATGATATAATAATATTAATAATTATAATAAAACTATTATTATTACTAAATCTTTATTGCATGTAATTCAAATACAAATACATGTACTGAAGATATAAATGATAATATAAGAGATATAAAATACATGTAATAATAATAATAATAATAATAATAAATATAATAATGATAATAATCAGTGTTTTCTCAGACGATACACAGCATGTTGGAACCGGCCCCTTGTTTAACAAGCTATGATTTTAAATACTCATGGATAGTCACATTTACGGTAAGTTTATTTACTTATTAACTTTTATTATTAACATTATTTAATGTAGTCGTCCAATATCCTTAGTCTGTCACCTGTTTGTAGGCAGCTTTGTGATCAGGGTCTTGCTTCTATCTGCAGGGCTGTCACTACAACCGTCTATGCTTTTGCTTGGCAGTATGATGTCCAGTCCACTTGGCAAGCTGTTTAATTGAAAAGTGTACTTAGAATCTTATTTAAATACTCTGTCACACATAAATTGAGCAAAATCTTGTATGAGATGCTACATAAATACATACATATGTGTAACAGGTTAATTGTGGTGTATGAGGTGTCACATGCCTGTGTAACGTGTTGATTGATGTGTATGAGGTGTTACATACCTGTGTAACGTGTTGATTGATGCGTATGAGGTGTTACATACCTGTGTAACGCATTGATTAACGCATATGATGTTTACATACCTGTAAAATGAATTTATTCACGTGTATGAGGTGTTCATACCTGTAAAATGAATTTATTCACGTGTATGAGGTGTTACATACCTGTTGAACGTGTTGATTGTGTTTTTGTGTATGAGAAGGTGTCATGTAGCATCATCGGCTTGGAGAGCTGAGCTTTGATGTCCAGCAGCTTCTCCTGTTTCTCCTGGTCAGTGGTGTTAGAGCTGATGCTGTCTGGGGAGCCGGGTCGTGCCAACGCTGCGCCAGCCCTGTAACACATCAATGATGTTAGACGTGGGATGGTAGTAGAGTTAAATCTATACGTAAGGGTCGTTGAAAGGAAACCCCTCGTATAACAACGTGTCCGTATACATTGTCGTTTATAAACAGGTTTTATAAATACGTATGTTATTATATAGTGTTTATAGACACCTAGGTGCCCGTGATTATATCAGTGGTCCACTGTAGAACTGCCACACGAGGCAATTGCCAAGTGTCCTTTATAGGCAGGTGTTCGGCCTATAGATCTCATATAGTATGTTCACACACTGATATAATCACAAGAGATCACAGGAGCTTACTCGTGCGCCTGAGGTCATAATTATGAAACTGTAACTGGTGATCGACGTGAAAACGTAAGGTCACCTTGGGTCAATGGTGACATCAGAGAATGGCCTCATGTAGTCCTCTCTGTCTGCGAGGGTCAGTGATTTCTCGACCTCTGTCAGTAGATCCTCATCATGACTCTGAGGTCAAGGATAGATAGTCTGGACTATATGGAAGACGATCAATTAAGCTATCTGCTTAGCATGATTAACTGACTGTTCTGGCCAATCATAATTGCGATAGGACATCCTAAAAACATTACTTGGCAATGAAATACTGAAATGTAGACGTATTGATGTACACGCGTAGAAAACTTGTACAAACTGGGCTAGCCTAACCAACCTAGTAACAATATTCGAAGGTGATTGCTATAATACTCGTACTTCACCCTATAAAGAGTCTTACTCCCGTACTGTACCCCATGTACCCTCCTTTCACATGGAGAAGGTCCTCATATTTTCTCATGTACCTCATAAAGAGCCCCTACCCATAGCCCTGTATTCTTTCCCCGTACCTTCATCATGAGTTTGGCAAGTGCAGAGTCTTTATCCTGGCAGAGTTGTGAGAGGCATGCGACCTTGCCACGCAGCGGCGGCAATGGCCGTCTCGGCTGATAGCTTTCCTTCTCAACCTCCTCATACTGTAACAATAGGGGGAAAGGGTTAACGTTCATCCATGCATGTATGTGATGCAAGTATGTGGGTGATAGCTTTCCCTTCTCAACCTCATACTGTAACAATAGGGGGAAAGGGTTAACGTTCATCCATGCATGTATGTGATGCAAGTATGTGGGTTATAGCTTTCTCTTCTCACCTCCTCATACTGTAACAATAGGGGGAAAGGGTTAACGTTCATCCATGCATGTATGTGATGCAAGTATGTGGGTGATAGCTTTCTCTTCTCAACCTCCTCATACTGTAACAATAGGGGGAAAGGGTTAACGTTCATCCACGCATGTATGTGATGCAAACACGGGGGTGATAGTTTCCAACCCTGTCGTACTGTAAGGGGGGGGGGGGAGGCACTCTCAGCCTATTACTGCAGGTAATGCAGACACGGAGAGGTATTAACACTCGGCCATGCAGCACTGAGTGTATTAGTACAGGTCTCATACTGTAACAGGGGGCAGAATTCTCAGGACATGTAGTGCATGTAGTACAAAAATGTAGGTATTTTAGCTGGGGATGTACGTGAAAGTTTTTGCTCCAAATACTTGTAATCTCGTTCTAGGCATTCAGATCTTCCGAACCATGACCGTGGTGATCGACATGCATCGTACCTTCTCTCGTAGGTTAGCGTGCTCCTTCTCCATGCCTTCCAGTTTTGTGCTTAGTTCGTTGAGGGAGTCAACCTTCTGTTTCAATTGATTAATTTCCTCTATATATGCTTCTTCTTTTTGTTTCTAGGATGCAAAATGACAAAACGTCATTTTCGATATCGTATCAGAATCTATGCACAATCTATGCAATACAATGCTCACATCAATCAATTAGGAGTGACAGTCCCTGTCATTTATCTCGTGAGGTGAATCTGAGTTCTCTTGTTATTTATGTGGGTACATGATCACGTATCTTCGATCAAATATGGCCACCAGCACCGATCAAACATGGCCACCCACCGTGGATTGCGCGGCCACTTACTCTTTTATTTAGTTCGTCCTCTACGGTGGTGAATTTCTTGCGCAGGGCGTCGGCTTCGCTGCGTCCCTCATCCTCGCGCGCGAGACGGCCTCGCAGCGTCGCGCACGACTCCTCCAGCTGAGCGATCTCGTCTGACGCGTGGCGCTCCCTGGCGGCCAGCTCCTTCATCTGGCGAGGAGATAGAGCGAGCCAGTCAGTAGCAACCCGCTATCATTGCCGTTTGTATTTATGGAGACCGACGGTGTCCATGTTACTGATGGTACCCCTGTTAATTGTTACTGTAGAACTCCGCTGCTATTAGTATAGGCATCCCCTGATGTTAGTGCAGGCCGGCATCCTCCTTTGTTATGGTAGGCATCCCCTGTTGTTACTGTCGGAATCCCCTGTGGTTATTGCAAGCATGCTCTATAGACATCCTTATATATCCAATTCATACATCCATATCCACACATCCATAAACCTTGTAACCTTAGCGTCACAGCCCACAATCATAGACGGGCTCCGACAGCATGCACTCACCTCTTCCTGCAGCTGGTCATGCTGCGTCTGCAGCTGCTTGTACTTGGTGGCGGTCGTCTGAAGCTCGATGAGTTGAGACCACAGCGAGGTGACCGTGTCCTCTGCTTTCCTTCGGCCCGCCTCCGCCGCGTCGCAACCCTGACGCCACCTGTCTGCCTCCGCCTGCAACTAAAACAGGCGAACAGTCGGAGTGCAAACGCACTTCTTGCGAGATGTTGACGCATCGAGAACGAACTTGAAACTATTAAAAGAATCGATGCGACGATTGCGATGGGGTTTTCATTGGACATTAATTGTTTATACAGAAATCAACCAATAGATATAAGCTGTTTGCTCATAACGTGTCGAGTCACGGGCTTTCAGAGGAAAATACACAGGAGAGACAACAAACATGAGCTGCCATTAAAAGTGTATTCTTGGAAAAGTGTTGATAATGTGTCATGTCACGGGCTTTTCCTACAATATAGTTTTAATGGCAGCTCGTGTTTGTTGTCCCGTCTGTGTATTTTCGTCTGAAAGCCCGTGACTCGATGGGTTATCAACACTGTTATATCGCGTGCATGTAGTGGGTTAGGTTGGTCAACTGTTGCCTTACCTCCTGCAGTGCGTTCTCGTGCTCCTCTTTCAGCGCGTCAAGCTGTGCGGTGGCGCCACAGTCCAGTAACTCCCCGCGCGAGGCAGACGCTCTCATGCTCTCAAGCTCCAGCTGCGTGTTCTCCACCTGACTTTGTAGCGCACTCACTATTGCACCTGTAAACATACGTCGAACCACGTGTAACGTACACGCACTACATATACGTACACGTACACTACGTATACGGACACGTGAAACCACGTACAGGTGTAAACGCACCTGTAAACACACGTCACATTACTGTGGCTACAAGAGAGCGGGTGAGCGACGGAATGGGCTGATTACCTACAATGGGAGTACAGGAGAAATGCGACGAGGTCACGTCTGTGAACGCGCGATGGCTTATCTCACAAGTCCCTCACACACACCTTACTGACATTTTATATCAACTTTACACAAACTGCGTGATCAAAGCATTGCGTGAGTATATGTTACATTAATTAGGCAATGATGTAACTAGGACCACATCAAACCAGACTCGTTTTATGATGACCTGATGTTATATATTATGTAAGCGAAGTCTCTCCTTGATCTCCCGTCATCTAACGGTCTCTACAACATGTTAACAGGCCGTGTAATCAGCACTGGTTATTCAAGAAAGATTGTATGCTCTAGGACATCATTAACTACAGTTGTGAAAAGCAGCTATGGGTAATCATATATTATCTTTCGATGGTACTGCGAGGATTTGTGGACACGCACCTTCATCGTTTCTCTGGCGCATAATCTTGCTTAGCTTCTTCAGATCTCTCTGTAAGTCTCTCACCTCTCGCTTCTTAACGTCAAGCTCAAAGCGATCCTGACTCGCCACCTAGTGGGCACAAAGGAAATCAGATATCTGGAACAAGTCTGGAATTTCCACTATTGGCTGTCTATTGCTAAGAATTGATAGTTCAGAGTTTTCAGTGCTTATAAAAATTATAAAAATTTAATTATTAAAAATATTATTTAATAATCGAATTAAAAAATAACTATAAAATTTGGAAGAAAATATCGTAAAAAATGTCTTTGAATGAGATAAATATAATGAAAAACATCTAGATGCGATAAATTTGAGCTCGTTCTTATGCGACAGAGCAGGGAAGTTGCACAGCATGGTTGAGAATGTATTGAGTGAATCCCTCTCTACCTCCTTCATCTTCTTAATCATCTGCTGCAGTTCTGCAGCCTCCTCCTCCCTTCTCTTCAGCGCGGCCTTGTACTGCTGCGTTGCCGTGGGCGAGGGGAGCTTGGCTCCGGCCCGCACCATCGTTGGTATCCGCGTCGCAGGCCGCTGCTGATGCTGCCCCCGCGTGAAACCCGCGGAAGCTTGCTGCTGCGGCGCTGCGGCGTCCGTTGCCACGGTGACCCAGTCAGCAGATGAGCTGCTGCCCGACCTGGAGACAAGAAAGTTTATCGTCTGTCAACGGAATGTTGCTGTGACAGCGACGGACTTGATATTTGTGTCATCTGTTTATTATTTGTTTACGATGGATCTCACATGGGTTCTACGATCTAGCATGTACGTACCGTGACACGTTTGTAGGAGGTGAGCAGGGAGGTAGAGGTGGTGTAGACGCCAGGCTGGCCGTCGAGCTTGTGGCACTCGCGCCACCAGCTGCTGCAAGTTCGCATGATGGGGAATCTTTGCCGTCTGTTGCGTCAGACTTCGCTCCGATCTGAAATGTTTCACAGAGTCAGCCGTCAGTGGGCAGTGTGAGCGCACAGCAGCTGCTCGTAGAGGACTACTGTCAACAGCAAACAACAGATGTAAACAGTGGATACTCGAGCAATGTAGATGTAAACAACAGAGGTATCAACAATATACATGTGTAAAACGTAGACGCATACAACATTTAATACCACACGACATAACCTAGTCGTGACAACCTGTAAAGGGTCCATAGTGGGACACCACCACACACCAGCACGTAGCGCACAGGAGCGAGTGTAGGGCTCGCTTCCACGCACCAAGGCACATAGACAGACAGCTACACACAGTAAACCACAGTATACCACCTCTGTATGAGCTCGCTAGTTAACACTGGAGTGCAAGATGAGAAGTGAATAATTGAACATCACACCTGTCTGATCTATTATTAGTAGATTAATTAATGGGATGGAGCTACAGGTAAATAGAGGTGATTAATAAAGCAGGTAGGCTAGGTGAGTGATTTACTAATGGCTGCTCAGCAAGGAGCTGCATCCTTCTCATCATAGATGTGATGAAGGGGTCGGAGGAGGAGACGTAGGAGGAGGAAGAGGAGGAGGGGGTGGCAGAGGAGGAGGGGAGAAAGTGTAAGGCCTGGAGGAGGAGGAGAATGACGAGTACAATGAGGAGGAAGAAGGAGAGGATTATGATACATATACAGTATCAAGATACATATGTATTAACAGAAGCTAAGCAATGAAGGATGCGTGGGAGATGACAGGGGGAAGAGAAGATGACAGGGAAGATATTGATAAGTATGAGGTCTTACCTGTCTACTTGACATATCACCCGTGTTACACACTCACCTGTCCACCTGACATATCACCCGTGTCACACACTCACCTATCCACCTGACAGATCACCCATGTCACACTCACCTGTCCACCTGACAGATCACCCATGTCACAAACTCACCTGTCCACCTGACAGACAGATCACCCATGTCACACACTCACCTGTCCACCTGACAGATCACCCATGTCACAAACTCACCTGTCCACCTGACAGATCACCCATGTCACACACTCACCTGTCCACCTGACAGATCACCCGTGTCACACACTCACCTGTCCACCTACAAGATCACCCAAGTCACACACTCACCTGTCCACCTAACAGATCACCTGTGTCACACACTTACCTGTCCACCTGACAGAACACTCATGTCACACACTCCCCTGTTCACCTGACAGATCACCCGTGTCACACTCACCTGTCCACCTGACAGATCACCCGTGTCAGGCTCCATCCTGACTTTGCTCTCAGACACGTTTTCTGCAAATGTGTCATCCGTCCGCCCGGGGGTAACTCTCGTCGTTTTCGCATCGCGGTCGTCACGGCAACAGCCTCCGCCTAGCTGCTGCACGCCCGATCCCGCAACACCTGCACAGAGAGGTGATACGGTGAGCAAAGTCACCACGGCAACGCATCGCCCACGATCGCGTAGCAACCAATCGGTCTTCGCTTCGTAAAATCCTTGACCAGCCAATAGAAGTGAGACAGAAATGCTCGCACAAGATGCTGGAGGGAAATATTTGTGATCGGAATTTAGTGTATATATAAATAATAGTATTCGTGTTGTAGTAAAGATATGTCAAAGAATAGATATCACAATATCCTTACATCTACAGTAAGATAATGACACCGTGTTGTTTTCTTCTTCTTTCTTTGATGTAGGTATTCTTTGGCCAGTAAAACACGTTTATCTCGAGCATTTAAATGAACAGAATACAGGTGCTTGTTGCAGGCCACCCTCGACTCTGTACGTACCTTCATAAAAATCAGCACTAGGCTGCTCATCCACTGACGGTGGGCCTGCTAGGGCAGCCTGGCTGAGGCATCCCGAGGCATCGTCGTCAGTGGGTCGAATAGGGGTCAAAGCTACATCTACTGCGGTCTCTGTGTCATCGCCAGAGACCGCCTCTATAGGTTGGGTTAGTTGTGAAGAGTTGGCTGCTGCCACTGCTGATGGCAGCTGAGGTAGTCGTTGTACCAGCGTGCTGCTGCTCTCTGACTGGTCCTTTACTAGCTGTGTGACAAGAATGAATACATCGTTAGCATGCTGCGACATGCTTTAAATATTAAATAGCATGCTGAGACAAGCTTTAAATATTAAATAGCGTGCTGTGACAATGTTAAGACATTGAATAGCGTGGTGTGACAGGGTTAAACATAGTTTAAAAGTTAACCCACAAACGTTACTGTTGTAATGCTAAAGCTACACTGTTTGTGGTGACGTGACGGAGCAAGTGAAGAAACTTCCATCGATTAATGAAGATGTGTAGTTAGCAAACCTCTTATGGATTTATTAATGCATAGTTATATAATGAGTGAATATATGAGGTGGATAGCATACAGACAAGGTAGAGATTGTGCGGCACATGACAGACAAGTCTGCCTCCACTGATCAAACTTATACACTACTAAGAACCTACAGACAGAAACACCACGTCTACACTGTAACATGTGCATACGTAAATCTACTGTAACTCACTCAGCTAGCCTTCCCAGGTGATAGACATAAACATAGACAAACCCATTAAAATTAATTTATTAATTCCCTGTTACAGTTGATTATAGCAGCACTACATAAGACATGGAACCTCGTGTTGATTTTGAGGTATGGTCTAGTTTTAAGGTCTTTAGACACATGTTGGAGTGTATATATTATATATATATATACTTATGTATAAATAAACATATTTATATATATATGTATATATATAAATTAATAATTACATTATTTCCACGTACCTTTGCATCATCAGTTGTCGCACGCTTCAGTAATTCCTCCGCTCTCTGTTTATCCGCACTCAGTTGCTTCACTTCCCTCGTGACCTTCTCCCTCGCTGCCTCGAGTATCTCCGCAAGCTTCTTGAACTGTCTCGCCTCTGTCTCGGCCGTCTCACATCGCTGCGAGGCATCGTCTCGCTCCCAGGTCGCTCGGTCCAGGTCTGCCTCGAGTTCCTGCCTCTGCTGCTCGAGGCAATCGCGGTCACGCTGCAGCTGCTGTGCTGACATTCGCAGGTGCTCCTGTTCTCCTTCCAACCTCTCCAGCTTGTTCAGCTGAAGCAAGGACGAAACATTCACGCTAGAGGACGCTCAAAAACACACACTAAAGGTGTTGCTTAAAGCTACGAACTTGAGAGTGTTGAAAACTATAGACTAGAGGGTGTGTAAATCTACACGATGTAGGACCGCACACTAGAGGTCGCGTAAAACCGCACACTAGAGGTCGCGTAAAACCGCACACTAGAGAGCACTATAAACAACAACATGCTAGAGAATGCTATAAACGACATGCTAGGAGGCCCTGACATACCTTTACGGCGTCGGACGCCGCGTTGGCCTCGCTGCGTATCACGTTGGTCCGCATCCTCTCCAGCTCCTCCCTCTCCTCTCCCGCCTCCGCGACCTTCTCTTCCAGGTCTGCGACCTTGACCGTGAGCAGACGCTCCTGACCCGCCGCGTATTCGACCTGCTGTCTCAGCGACGCGTTCACCTTCTCAAGGTCAAAGGCGCGCGCCTCCAGCTCGCGCTGGCGCTCGGCGGCGGTGGCGCCCTCTGCGGCGGCCGCCTCGTATCGCCGCACCATGTCGCGGTTGATGTTCTCGAGTTCGGCAACTTGCCGCTCCAGCGCCATCTTGTCGTCGGCGATCTTGCGCGTCCTCGCCGCGTTCCCGCGCCGCCCGCTCTCGAGCCGCGCGACTTCCGACTTTTGACCCCTGACCTGGTTGCGGAGCTCGTTGACCTCCTCGCGGAGCTGGTCCTCGACGCCGGCGAATTCCGCCGTCTGCTGCGAGAGCTTCTCCTCCGCCTTCTCCAGCTTCTCCTCGAGGGTTCGCATCGCCCGCTCCTTCTCTGTGGCTTCCTCTTGCTTCTCTGCACTCGCAGCATCTTCCCGTTGCCGTAGCTCCCGCTCCCGCTCCTCGGCTTCCTCCAGCTTCTCCCTCGTCTCCTCCTCGCTTCGCCGGGCGTCGGCTGTGGCCGCGGTCATCACGACCATTGCGCGCTCGCTCTCCGCCTCCACCGCCTCCAGCTCGCCAATTCTCGCCACCAGGGCACGCTCTCGTTCGGCGACGATGCGGTCGGCCTGGGCGAGCGTCTCGCGCAGCGCGGCCTCCTGCATCTCGAGCACGCTCACTTGTTTCTGCAGCTCGTCCTCGTTGAGCTCAAGCGCGTGCATCCGCTCATAGAGTTCGCCGGCGGCGCTGCGGTCCGCGTCGGCTCGCCGCTCGCGCTCGCTCGCCAGCGCCACCTGGTGTTTCAGCTCGGTCTCGGCACGCTGCAGCTCGAGCACTCGTTCGCGCAGCCTCCGCTCGCCGATCTCCAGCTGCAGGTTGCGCTGCTGCAGCTCGCAGATGCGCGACTTGTCGTCGCTGCCCCAGTCGCGGCGCAGCGCCCCCTGGAGGCGCGCCTCGTTGCGCTCGAGCGCGGCGACGCGTTCTTTGAGAGCGCGCTCGGACGTCTCGAGTTCCGAGATCTGCGTGCGGTAGCCGTCGGCGGCGTCCCGCAGCAGCGAGTCGGCCTCGGCGAGCGTCGTCCGGTACGCAGCCTCCTTCTGCTGCAGCTCGTGGATGCGTTGCCGTAGCGACGTCTCGAGCTCGACGAGCTCGGCGACCTTCTCGTGCAGCTGCTCGTCACTGTAGAGGCTAGACGGGTGACGCGCGGTGCGCGCGTCCGTCGCTCCCTGCAGCGCGGCGGTTGCGGCGTCCATCTCGGCGCGCAACGCGTCGACGCTCGCCTCCAGGTCGCCGATGTGGGACTTGTAGATGTTCTCTTGTCGCTCGAGAATGAGCGCGGCCGACTGCAGCGCCCCCACGCTCTCTTCGAGGTCGTGCGCACGTCGCTCGGCATGCTGCAGCATCGCCAGGTGGCTCTGCGTCGTCGTGAGTTCGTCGCGCAGCTGGCGGGCGGCGTCATCGCGGGCGATGCTCACTTGTTTCACGGCGTCCTTGAGAGACGCATTCTCGGTCTCCAGCTCGCACTGCCGCTCCGCCGCCGCGTCCAGCGCCCCCTGGCGGTCCGCTGCCGCCGCCACGAGTCTCTGCCGTTCCTCTGTCAGCGTCGCTAGTTCCTGTCTCAGGTGTTCCTTCATCTCGACTGACTGTTGATGTTTCTCTAGTTCCTGTCTCAGGTGTTCCTTCATCTCGACTGACTGTTGATGTTTCTCTAGCTCATGTCTCAGGCATGCCTCGGTCGTCTCTAGCTCGGCCACGCGATCGGTTAGCGTCGTCTCGCTGTCGACCAGACTACAGATCTTACGCTCCAAGTACGTCAGCTTGGCTGTCACACCGGGAGCCAGTGACAACGACCGCTTACTAGCTTGACTACGGGAATCAGCACCCTCGTCATCAACTCTCTCTCTCGCAGCCTCTTTCATACTCGCTCTCTCCTGCTGCATCTCCTCCATCTTCGCCCGCATCGTTTCCATGGCGACGCGCGCGTCCGCCTCCTCCTGCTGCATCTCCTCCATCTTCACCCGCATCGTCTCCATAGCGACGTGCGCGTCCGCCTCCTCTTGCTGCGTCTCCTCCATCTTCACCCGCATCGTCTCCATGGCGACGCGCGTGTCCGCCTCAGACTGCTCGACGCTGGCCAGCTTCTTCTGCAGTCGCTCGTAGCTGACCATGTCCTGCTTGAGCTGGCGGAACTTGCGCAGCCTCAGCAGCATCCGCAGCTCCTTGCGCTGAAGCTCTGCTATCTGCTGCGAACATCCAGCCAGCTGAGCCTCCAGCGACGCGACGCGCGCCTCCGCCAACCGAGCATCCGTCTCCATGGCGCTCTGCTTCCCGTTGTGCTCCTTGTCCCCGTGTTCGATCGGGGCTTCGCCGTTCTCGGTTTCCTCGGCGGTGACTGTGGCGTCGGTGTCCGCGTCGCTGCTGTCGTCGCGGCGCACCGCCGTGGCGCCCCCTGCTGCCTCCTTCGTCTGCGCGATTTCGAGCTCCAGCTCGGTCACTTGCTCCGTCAGCTCAAACTCGTTCCTCTCCAGCACCTTGATCTTAGACTGGCGCCGCGCGTCCTCGTGGCACTGCTCGGCGGCCGCGTCCAGTAGCTGCTGCGTCGTGACGCGGTGGTCGTCGTCCGTCTGCAGCAGCCGGCAGCTCAGCTCCGTCTCACGGCGCTCGCACTCCGCGACCTTGACCTCGTACTCGTCGACCTTGGCCTGGAATTCCGTGACCTTGGCCTCATACTCGGTGACCTTGGCCTCAATCTCTGTGACCTTGGCCTGTGATTCCATGACCTTGGCCTCGCACTCGGCAACCTTGACCTCGTAATCTGCAACCGCGACCTCATACTCTGCGATTTTGACCTTGTACTCCGTGACCTTGGCCTCATGCTCTGCGACCTTGGCCTCATATTCTGTGACCTTGGCCTGGGATTCCGCGACCTTGGCTTCCTTCTCCTGCAGTGAGGCTTCCTTCTCTCTTCCTGCCACTAGCAGCTCCTCTATTTTCTCCTGTAGGGAAGCTTCCTTCTCTTTCCCAGCTACTACCAGCTCCTCCATCTTCACCTGCAGAGATGTTTCCTTCTCTCTCCCTTCTACCACTAGTTCCTCCATCTTCGCCTGCAGAGAGGTTTCCTTCTCCCTTCCTGCTACCAGCAGTTGTTCTATCTTCTCCTGCAAACAGGCTTCCTTCTCTCTCCCTTCTACCACCAGCTGCTCCATCTTCTGCTGCAGAGAGGCTTCCTTCTCCCTTCCCGCCACCACCAGTTCCTCCATCTTTTCCTGCAGGGAGATGACTTCTCTCTCACTCAGCTGTTTCACCTGACGGTCGTGTTCTGCGTAGCGTGCCGGCGGGTCCGCCTCGTTCGCAGACTCCGTCGCCGAACAATCAAGGTGGCGCCGCTCGTCATCCTCCTGCATCAGCTCCACCTGGTGGCGGAAATACGAGTTGTCCAACTCGAGCCTCTTCACATCGGCTTCCAACGATCCGACTTTCTGAAATGCGTGAGAGAACTTTGGTTAACAGGCCTGCTCTATGACGAAAGATGGTACAACAGATCAAAGTAAAGTTTGTTGTGGACGATAAAATTATATAGGGATACAGACAACATAGAGAGATGTTGCGTATATTGCGGTAGTCGGGGTCAGCCGAGGGTCAACCGGCCGAGGCTTGGTCGATCGTACCTCTCTGCACTGCTTCAGCTGCACTAGCTTCTCCTGCCAGACGCGGTCCTCCTCGCAGCGTCCCTCAATGGTCGCGCTCAGCTTGTGACGTAGCCGCGTCACTTCCTCCGTCTGCCGCTCGTGTCTGCTGCACAGCTCTGCATGCTGGCACTCGCGCGCCCGCTCGCACGCGCGCAGCGACGCGAGCTCTTTAGCGCCCTCTAGCTGCGTCTACGCGAACATACAACAGCGGCATTAGACGCGCTATAGCAATGTGCGATTACACGTGGCGCCCTCTAGCTGCACCTACGCAAACAAACCGCATCGGCATTACATAAAATGCATAAGACGCGAAGACAAGGAGCGGCATTAGACACGCTATAGAACTGTGCTATAGACTACACGTGGCGCACTCTGGTGGGCTGTGTGGACGTGGTGAGAAGCCGGCAGGCATTGCGACGTTTGATACTGACGATGTTACGCAACAACTATAGCTCACACACATGGTTATATCAAAGGATGTGAATCCACCCACCTATGTTGTCCAGGGTTTTACATGTTTTCTACAGTATTAAATTACCACCAACATGAGCGAACACTACATATGTTCACATTGTAGATCCTCGACACACACAGCATAGAACTGTGGGTAAGTTTCACCGTACATGTACATCAATAGGCAATGGATAACTACTATTACTGGGCTGTATATAATAACATTGCGTTATTTTATTATTACATATTAGGCCTATTATATACAGTTCAGTGTTGTCTACTATAATATATAAGTCATATATGTCATTGTAAATTTATATATTGGCAATTGTATATTGAATATATTGTATATTTGTCATTATTCACCCCTGATATATATATATCTATACGAAAACTAAATCGACCGACTACAGC